TCCACAACTGTCTAATGCAAGGAACCAGTATGATAGCAATGAACAGTACATTCTGTCTTGTTACCCTGCAGAAGTGGCTGTGCAGGAATCTCTGAGGTACCTGCTCTGCTGTCAGCATCTTCCCTTGAGTCCTCTAATGCTCTCACTGTGAGGACCCCTACTCTCACACAACTGAAGTCTTGCCTGTGCACCCAGAACCCTACCCAGAGCTGCCTTTGCCCAGACTCAAGTACTTTCTACCACCCAGCAATGCTGCACATGTCCAGCTTTCTTCAGAGGTACCCATGGTACCTGCAAAGTAAAGAAAGTTCTAATCTGCTCCTTGCCCTGCATAATATTTGGTGTCATTTTGAGGAAAAAAAAAATGAAGCAATGGGCAGTCCTGAACTTGATGTTGGTCCTACTCTGCCAAGTGATTAGTCAAGAAGAGGAAGAGAAAATAACTAATTTTCTACTAAATAAAGCAATGACTGCCATAAGTATCTTTTAAAAAGCTCAAAATATGAACAGTGATGATTTCAGAAATCAGGGGGTGACAGGATGCTTGCTCCCGCAGATATCACCTCAAAACTGTGCCACCTAAGTCAGTGTGGCCTTGGGCTCCAGGACCTTGCTGTCTCATGGATAAGATGATGATGAGTGATGCTTAGGACTTCTGGACCAGGAACCCTTTCTAAGTTTTTGTTATGCCAAAGAGTAGCAACACTGCATGCTGCATGCATCTTCAGCCAGGCCTCTGCTCGGGGTCTCCTCCAGACACTCCAGACTCCATCCTTGCCATGGAGTGATCACATGACTTAGGTATTTCAGTGTTACCATATTCACCAAATATTTATACATAACATTCAAAAAAATGAGTGCAAAATGGCACCAACTGCATTCAGTGCCAGAAACAGCACTTTGGGATACAGCGAAGTGCTTGGTAAATGTTTGTGAAGTGAGTGCAGTATTCGTATATGATGGTCTATCATTTTTTAAAGCTATCAACTCTGTCAATTCTCTAATTCCAAATCTTTCAAGCAGATTTATTTAAATGATCATTCCTTCAGCCAAAATGTAATGTGGTTTATCATTAATCAAAATGTCTAAAGGTTAAATTTATTACTACTGCATGGTACTTTAATTTCTACTGTATATAAACTACTTTCTTAGCTCAATTTCTATTTCTTTGCTCAATAGCTGCACTCTCATAACAAGACTTATTTAAAAAAACAGATTGAGAATTAGAAAAATTAAATTTAAAAGCAAACAATCAAACAAAGAAAAACATGCAAAACAAAACAAATTGCTAGGTCTGTATTCACCCCTTTCAGAAGCAAGAACTTAAAAGTATTCATATTTTTATTCTGTTCTTATTGCTTTTGTTCTCCAGGTTTCACACTGAAACAAATTGCTCATATTAAGGCTCATTTGTTTTCCTGACATGAAAGTTTAAACTAGAAAATCGAATTTTATCATTAAGAATAAACACGTAGTACCTACCAACCACCGTTAGGTTCACAGTGCTAAAACCACAAAGACAACTACATTCCTTCTGGATCTACATAAGTCTAACTGTTTTACACTTGATTTAAATGCAGTGGTACCTTGGAACTTAATTCTTTGCACGATTTTGGTCACAAAATTTGTTTCATGATTCTGGCTGCAACCAAATTCCAAGCATTACATGCTCTTTGTGTAACATATTAACTGCAGGCACACATGCACTATGCTTGCAATTTGGCTGCAGTCAGAATCACAGAAAGAATTAAGTTCCTGAGGCAAGGCACCACTAACGTGTTCAGTACGGAAAGGCAGCAAAAGGTGACAAAAAGTCTGTCTTACTGACTTCGGGGTTCTGAAAGTCTGTGATTCTTTAGGACAGATTTTCTCTGGAATGTCAACTGTAACAACTGTATCACAACAGATAAAACACAGAAGCTGATCAGAAATTACCTGTACTATTTTAAGCCAGGCATTAAAGACATTTAAAAACACACAAAAGAATGACGACTCAAAGTCTGGGGGCAGAGCTCAGGATAAGAGTATGAGTCTAGCGTGCTCACGGCCTTGGATTCAATTGCCAACATCATTCAAACAAAAAAGCCAATTCATCTAACATTTTTCTTTTGTTACATTTTTCATTTTTCAGTAATAATATCATTTATGTTAACAAAGTTAAATAGCTCTTTATTCAAGTGGTTTTGATTTTTTTTTTCTTGAACTGGGGACTGAACCGAGACTCATGGATGGTACATGCTTTATCAATGAAACCCCAGTCCTGAAATGTTTTATTTCTAATACAGTAAACATCAAAGTACATAACCAAGAGAAACAACTTCTTAGGAATCCCCAATAATTTTAGTTCAAAGTGTGAAACAGTAAGATTTTGAGGCCATGAGATATAGTGGCTGCCTTGAGCAATTGCCCTTAACCCCACTGACTGACTTCATTGCCAACTACATCTAGACTTTGCAACTTAAGCCACTGTATTAAGCAGAAAAACACCATAATACTGTAGGTGTTGACAGTACACATCATCTCATTACCCACTGCTGCTCATATTCAATTTTGTACTAAGTTATGAAGAGCTACTTAATTTTGGGTAGCTCTTCAGGAAAATCCCACTTGTAAGGACAGTGAACAACTTAACTCCTCTTCCCAGACTAAATTAAATGTTTAGGTTTTAGTAAGTGTAATCTTTCATATCTTTATTACTAAAGTCTGATGCATTAATTGGATACCACAAACAATATATGTATGCACTTCTGAAAACAATGAATGACCCTTAACACTTGTCAAAAATCTGGACTGAAGGAGGATACAAGCCAATAACATGTAAGTCACTACTTTTCTTTTACATTACTGTACTTTATAGATGGGACTATCCAATGTATCCACTGCCATTTTTTACCAGAAGGCTTATGATAACACAGTTATAAAAAATTTAGCTGTCTGAAATTCTCTTTTTATAACAGAGTTATAAAAAATTTAGCTGTCTGAAATTCAGGAACTATTTTGTATTTCTTTAAGGATACAACTAATCGTCCTTCCTCCAACCATCTCACTATCCATGAACTACTAACTCATACACATTCTTCAGTCTTTTAACAAAGAGGTTCCAGATACACTCCCAAGTAGACCCAAAGGAAAGATAGCTGCTTCTAATACTTAACAATGAAAATTCAATCCCATCCACAGAATTTCAGAGCCCACAAGCTGTGTACGACGCTAGTGTGTTACACACCTTGTGCTTACTTTCTAGGCATGTGTCTTCTAAAATTTTTGTCATTTCTCCTTGGCTTTCTGAGAAAGCTCGTGCCACTTGTCATACACCTCAAATGTAGATGTGTCCCACATTGCCTGATATACAGTGAGCACCCAAAGAGTACAGTTGTTTAAGGTGACACAGTAATACTGAGGAGGAAAATATTAAATAGGAAATGAAGCCTCAAAGCAGTCAACAAATCAAAGACACGTAGGATGGGTTTCCCAAACATCGTTAGGTTGTATTTTCTATTCTACTGAATAGAGGTGGCAGAAAAAGGACTGTGAGAACAATGAACCAGCAAAAAAGAGATAACATCCATAAATCAAGGCAAGTTTATTTATATTTGTACTTTGTGTGTTCCAATTATTTCCACACTTTCATTTCCTATTCATAATTTTGGGTCCCTCCTCTTCTCCCACATTTTCCCACGACAAATTACAGTATGTGAAAGTTTTCTTTACCCATACTACTCATCCCTCCAGACACATCCTGATGAAACACTCCAAGGTCTAGCTCAGAGAATTTTAAAAGTAGCTACTGCTCCACACAGAATGGAGTGGGCCTAAACTCTTCAAAAATGAAAAAACGTTAAGTATCTTTCCTCTAGGCTCTTAAGAAAAATGTATAAAAATGGGGCAGGGGGCAGGCTGTCAGCTCCATGGTAGAACATTGTTCAGCATATGCAAGGTCCTTGGTTTGCCCTACACACACACACACACACACACACACACACACACACACACACACTCACACAATCATTAAAAGTACAATGTCCCATTTTTCCTCATGTTAAAGATGATCAAAATACTGCTATGTTCAGAAACAAATGGGAAAACGTAAAAATTATAAGCTACCCTAGATGAAAGATACTCAATTCTTACCCTCTATTTGCTGCACAGCATTTGAGAGATGCATTTTAGATACAGTATCCCCTCAGCTACCTGGCAGATCATGCACAGTCAAAGGTACAACACATAACACAGGCATGGTTTAGAAGGTGAAAAGATGAGCTCTGTAAGCACAGTGCCCTGTCCATTGAATGTTTTCTTGTATGCTCAGTGTGAGGCCTAAAATAAATCTAAGGTCAACTTAAATAATACTCCAAGAACAACTATGAAGCCAGGTATGATGGCTCACACCTGTAATCCCAGCGTTCAGGAGCTAAGGGAGAAGAATGGCCCTGATTTGTTGGAGGATAGCCTAGGGCACATAGTGAGTTCAGGTTCAGCCTAGACTACACAGTAAGACCCTACCTCCAAAACCATTTTTTTAAAGGAACAAACAAACAAGAACAATTATACAAATAAAACTAGATCTAGAACCTTAGCAGCTAAGAAGCATTCACAGTAGGTAGTGAATGGTTCAGGCAGGGGTAACACAAGACCATACAATTCCACATGTGACTGCTGACCTCCTGTCTATAAAGCCAATTTAAGATAAAAAGGAGTACTATTTTAAAGTACACACAGGCAGGACCTAGAATGCAACAACAAAAGTCTTTCAAGTGGGCTTGAGTCACAACCCAAAGTGTATTTCCTGGTGAAGCATTACAGCGCACAGCTCCGCCTCCAAATCACACCCCTTGTGTCTAACACAAGTTCTGTCTAGAAGAGGAGAACCTAGCATATAACAAGAGAAAGGGGAAGGAAACAGGTGATGAGGGGCAGGGGGCACGTGTGTGCTGTGTGTGTGCACAGAGGGCTGCGAGGGCAGTGCGTGTGCGTGTGCGGTGAGGCGCAGGGGTACTTACTGTGCCCGGCTCTCTGTCTGCTCCCGAGGTTACCAAGAAACGCACAGACATGCCCGTTCAGACACAGAGGCAAGGACAGAAATAAAAAAAAGGGGGGAATAATTAGAACACAAGCCCCAAACAGTTTTAAAAATGGCTTTTATTTATATAAGTCATTGCACATTCCTAATACAGTGATTTTCCTGAAAATTACAGTATTTTGTAAACATAAGATTTACAGTTTAACCATACACAAAGCCTATTTTTTATTTTTTGACAGAATAAATTACTTTTTTCAAAAATTAGTCAAGTGCAATTCTGCCCAATATTTAATGCATACTAGAATTAAAGCCTATGAAACTAAGTAGTAACAGATGCAATTATCAAACCTTTCATTTGAATACATTCACTTTCAAATTTAACTTCTTATTTCGCCCCATTTAACAACATTACTTTCTTTGAAAATTACCCAATTAAGCAGTTAACAGTTTTCTATAATACGGTACAGGCCACTGGCATTAACGAGGCAGTTGCCAAGATGTCAAGATGCCTGCAATCTAACCAGATTGAGCAATCTAGACGCCCACGGAGAGCCCTGCCATGAGCAGGGTGGACTGTGCGTCCGTGGAAAGCTCTGCGACAGTTCCTCTCAGCTCACTGTTTGCTCTCTGCATAGGATGGGCCTTTCATTAGCGATGCCCGAGTCTGCGGCACTGTCTGGGTAGCAGGCAGAGCCCTAATCCGGCTTGCCCGGCCTCTCACCTCTGTGGTGTTCGGCATCGTGGTGCTTCTTGTCCTCTTTTATTGCCAAATGAGACTGCCCACTCAGAGCACTGGACAGTGCGAGCAGGCTGGCGCTGCCCCCCAGGGGCGGGAGACCAGGTGGCTGCAGTCCAGAAGGGTGAGGCGTGAGGGGGACCGGGGGTCCGTGGCCATGCGAGAGGTGCTGGGCTTGCAACTGCTGCTGCTGTTGGGGGGTGGATCACAGCGGTGGAGGCAGAGTCCAGGGGAAAACAGAGAGGAGAGGATGCAAGAAACACAACAGGGAGTTGGCAGGGACATGGATGGGGAGGGGGGAGAAACGTAATTAGTGCTTTCCACTCCTCACAGGCCTCCCCCACTCAGCTACTCCCTCCTCTCATTCATGGAACCCCAGCTCTGCATCTTCCTGGCCCAACTCACTCTCTGACAGGGCAGTGCTTATTATTAAGCAAGACTGGCCAAGTTAGACAGGAACCATAGTTAGTTCCATTTTTAAGCGCCTTGGGAAGGAAATCCAGGTGTCCCAAACCCAAGACACAACAAGATTTCAAGATTCCTCCAGCCAAGGGCTGTTGAGACATTCTGCCAATTAGCTTTCCTTTATTTTTTAAATTAAGTTTTTGAAAAAAAAAAAATATTTTTGAAAAGTTTGTCTTGCAATGTATTTATAAACAGTAAATAAAAGTTTTTAACATTAAAAAAAAGATCCCTCCAGCTTTTGGAGCAGCAGGCTGGGGGAGGGGCTGTTCATTGCACAGCACCATGCACATACCCTGACGAATCCCTGGTTACCAGGTGACTTTCTTTCCTGTGTTACCTGCAGTGTTGGCTCAGGGAACTTGGCTTTGAGAACTGGAAACCTGACAGATGAAACACTGTGCACCACTCCTGTCTCAAGCCCCATGCCTCAAGCCCACTGCTTCTATGTATACATGAAAATATGGAGATCCAGAGAGGTTAAGAAGCCTGCTGATGAAAGCATTTCTCACTAACACATGGGACTCCTACCAGCATGACTCAAGTCCCATCTCCTAAAGCCCTTTTACCATACCTCTTGGCCTCTATCACTTAACCCACCCCAAATTTCATCATTTTGTCCACTTGAGCATGTTTGGGTTAGGGCTGTTAACTCTTTTCTCACTGCTGGGCAGCATGAACCACTGGTGGTACATGCATGGCTGTCCCATTGGATGGCGCTTTATTCATTCTATTAGCAAAAACATCAATGAAAGTGATTAGACTTGCTTGTCCCACCATGGTACAAGACACCTGATAGTCCAGTCACGTATGTTTCAGCGGTGGCCACTGCTCTCACATGTTATATTTAATAAGCATGTTGCATGTAAAAAAAAGGGTCTAAGAAATGGCCTCTGCCAATCTGGATGCATGTCAATTGTTCAAAGAAAATTTGTATTTGATGAGACAAAACTGATTAAAACTCAGATGTACCCTTAGAAAATTCTTACTCTGATTGGTACTCACTTCACTGGGGCTAAATTACTTGTTTTATTCATTATTCCCATGCATGAACTAAATACACTGAATCTTCTTCATGCCAGAGCTGCAGCAGTTTCCAGCCAGGCCACTAATTATTCAGTGAATCCCAAACATACCTTCCCACCCAAGAGTCAGAGTAAACACTATCTTAACTCAGAAATTATCATCTCCCGTCATTCTGCAGTGAATGTCCAACCATTTCTAGCACCTTCAAAAAGCCCTGAGGAGTCTGACTCCTTCTGAAAAGTCCTTTCTAAGACTGCCTCCTTCTAATTAAGAGTGGTAAATGGAAAAGGGGCTGAGGTCTGAGCTGACAACATCAACAGTATTCTTGGGAAGTGTTTCAAAATTACTCATTCACCATCTGAGATCATAATAATTTCTTTACATATAAAATCACCTTCCTGTCATCCCAAAGACACTCATTCTTGCTCTGTCACCTTTTAAGAGCTCTGCAACAGTGAGACATAAAACTGAAGAAGCTGGCAGCAGTGTCATGGTCCACTAGGCACGCTCATTAGCACTTAATTAGGAACAAGACACCTGCCATAAGACAGGCACGCACAAAGATGAAGGACCCCCCTCTACACTATCATTAGGGGAGCAGGGCTACGTTCAGCTTCTGGGGAAACCGGCCATGTGTGCCCAAGTGAGCGGGTGTAGTAATTAAGCTCAGCACTGATTAAAAGAAGATGAGAGGCTAAGCAGAGGGGAAGGGACAAAACAATAGGGTGAGGGACACCTCCCTCTTGGCCTTCCAAAAATCCAGCTGGAACCACAAGAGCTGCCAAACCACATACTCTAGGAGGACCAAACACATATTTAGGTGGAGCTAGTGTACCTTTCCTCACAAATCCTGCCAAATGTTTGAAAAGCTGGATTGCTGAATTCAACTATCACAGACCAGGGTGGCACACTTTGTACCCAAACAAGCATGGGCCTAGGCCCTGGCAGTGAAGGGCATGTGGTTAGACAGCAATTGGACCAGTCACTGCCCAAGGGGACACCCAGGGCCCTGCTGTTCCCAAGATCGCTCTTGTGTCTCCAGCTGTCTTGGCCGCTAAAGAAACAGCACACTGTATGCTGTCACAGTGTGCTGGGTTCTCGGTTCTGCCATTCCTGGTTCAGTCATCTTGAAAGCTGCTTTAGTATGAAAGGAAAACCTCGTCAAATCACCGCCTAGCAATGAGGTGGGTCACAGCTGCTGAAAACACTATGGTTCCAGGAAAGCAGATCCACTCACACACTGACCTCTGGTCCTGCAGAGCACAGCACACTGCCTGAGAGCTCGCATACTGGAGGCAGGACACAGGGATGAGCCCCTCTTCAAGGGGAGACTCACACAAAGCTAAGTGGCCCCAGGGGTGAGCGCCACAGTGGGGCCTCCACATCAAGGCCTGCCTGGAGCACATTTCTCCTGTAACCCTAGCAGCCCATTTATCTTCGGAGCACAGGAAGGAACTGGGCAACCCCTTTCTTCACTAAAGACTCATCATTTCTCTCCCTGCCCTGGACAGAGAACAATTCCTTCTACCCCGAACAAGTCCCCCTCTACCACAGAGCCTTATCAGCAGGCAGTAATACATATAGGTTCTCAAGCATCTCTCTATTTAGTCCCTCACTGCCTGGTCCCATATTTGTGGAGGGGAACTTCACATGCTTCCAGCCCTCTTACATGGAACTTTATAAAGAGGAAGCAAGCTTCCTTTGTAAATGAAACTTGTTTCTAAGATAAAACACATTTCTTTAAATAAACAGAATATTGGTAGCTAAAGAGAGAGATGGGAAAAAAAAAGAGAGAGAGATGAGGGCTCCAGAGAGGGGTTCTAGACCACTCTGGCCCCTGCTGTCTCTGGCGAATATTTTTTCTCAGCAAGATTTATCTGGAACCTACCATCCTCACAAAAGGAAAATGCACGAATGGCACTTGTAGAAGACATTTCAGTACAAGAGAGACACACCACTACTACAGAGCCAAAATCCAAAGGCTCTGTAAATTACTGGAATTTATGTCACATCTGTCTTCTCTTGACAAAAATCTTGAACCTTGCATTTGGAAAACGATGCATCATGCAACATGACAGCAAAGGAAACTCAAACATCTATGGAATCAGGAGTTTATAATAACTATGGAGCACTTTTAAAAGCTAATGTTTATAAATTGAATTGGTGTGGTGCACCCTTATATTCCCAGCCCTCTGCAAGGCTGAGTGAGGACAATTTCAAGTTCAAGCCAAACCTGAACATTCTGGCAATTTAACAAGACCCTGTCTCAAACTTAAACATAAAAATGGCTAGGTATGTAGCTCAGTGTGATCCCGTCAATCCACAGTACTTTTTTGAAAAAACGCTTAAAAGGATAGTACGACAAAAATTTGTAACACTATGCTGAATAGACTTTTTTGATTAGCAAAGGCAGCATTTAGAATACAGTTGGCTCCTTAAGGCTTTCAATCTACTGTGGACCAGTGGTTCTCAAATTAATGAGGCTTACACCACCTTCCCTGAGCCAGGAACACATGGCACCATCTAGAAACATCAATGGTGCTACAATGGAGTCTGGGCAAGTGCAATGCCACTGGCATCCAGTGGCCAGAATCCAAGGACGCTGTGCAGCTGGGCTGAATCCCCAGCATCAAAAAGAAATAAAAATAAAAATATAAATCCTAACACTGCACAGGATAGTGCTCTATCATAGAGACCTGGGTGGCAAAAATGTCAACAAGGCTGCGGCTAAGCAAACCCAGTCAAGATCAGAGCTGAAATTCTGTCCCATCACCTTCCCATTTGGTATGCCAAGTCACCTGCCCAACTTCAGTTTACAAAACACTACTCTTCAACATCCAAGCACTGGCTATCCTTCATTACCACCTGAGTCCCTGCGGCACAGCTCAAAAACGAACATCTGCCTTTAAAGATGATTCCACTATCTTGGGGAAGAGGGCTCCTGCATTTTATAAGCCACTGGTTAAAACCTGCCCTGGGAACTTTCAGAGTGGTACTTTGATACCTCAGAGAAAATTAGAGAAAAGGTTTAGGCTAGAGGATAGAGAAAATACTTGCTGTACCTGAAACTATCTGAACATACCGAGAGACAAGAAAACCACATTGAAACCTGAGTTAATGATACTGAAAAACCACAAGAAATCAAGTAACCTCATCCATGTCAAACAGTCACACATTTAGAATTTTAATTCACATTTTACTTTGTGCATCTTGGGTCAATTATGTTACTGCAATGAAATGGACATTATTATTTACATTTAGAGCTATAACAAAATGGTGTAATGGCTTTCACATTTTTATTTCTCAAACACAGGTAGCTTTGCTATGAGAGCTGTGTCTACAATATAGCAAGACACCCAGGTTGATGCCTACCCCCTCTTCATTAGAATTCAAGGCTCTGTACAACCAACTACTGAACCAATTTTAAGGTCAGAAATTTCACCCACTGTAAAACTCCAGGAACAACTGTGTCACCAAAATCACAAAATTTAACCCAACCAGACCAAACGCCATGACCCTAGATGGCATCTTGAATGCTAAAAGTGACAGTGTCATTTACAGTACTCAATATGGAAACATATTTAAAAGGGGAAAAAATGGGTGAAAAGTAGCATCTGTTGACAGTTCTCTCCAAAGCATTCTTCCCTGGTTTCTCATATTTTCCTGTTTTTTTAACACACTCATTTCTTATCTTGGGGGAAA